CAGATGACATCAGGAGTGACATCATCTGGGAATCCCTGAGGGGCGGGGCAAATTGTGCGGAGGTGGAGGCAGCTGGAGAGGGAGGGCCCGAGCCCCCTTCCCGGACCGGAGGAGGCGAGTAGTTCAGAGCACGAAAGTATCTAAAAGCGAAAAGAGGGAAATACTATTCGGGGAGTTGCAGACATTGGCGGCACCCCACTGATACTCCCGGGGAGTGGGTTTGGTGAACGGGTAACAGGGACCCAGACCCGCCCTCTCCCATGGGTCCCAGCCCAGGGCCCTAAGGACAGGTTCAAACACGCTCCTGTCCAGCTGATGAGGCTCTTGCCGCAACTCGCCAGCCTGCGGGCACTGGCAGGGGCGCCCTGCCCTGGTCTACTTCCTACCCCTTGCCACCATCGCGACTCGCCCATAAGGACGTCCTTCCGTGTCTCCCCGGTAGGAACCTACAACCCCCCGGTCCCACCAGCCTGGAATTTCGGGAGTTTCCTTCTCCACAGGGGAGGAGGAAGTCGGCTTCCTTGCTTCCCCTCCCGCACTCCCTCTCTGCTTGCCTCCCCCTCCTTTATCCAACCTGGTGTGGGCAGGCCCCTAAGCCCCGCCCCCTGATGCTGCACACTGTGGGGCGTGATGCTGCAATGCCACCTCACCCTGCTCTCCAGCTCCCTGTCAGCGTGAGCCCTGCCCCCAGCCCAGGTCCGTGGCGCTGCGCCGCTCAGCTGTGCCACGGCCCGCGAGCAAGCGGCACAAGCTGATGGCCGAGCCCCATGCTCCCCATACAGCACTGGAGGGCTCTAAAGGGTCACCATGTCTGACACCATGTCTGACACCATGTCTGACACTTAAATTTAAAGATGAAACTGAAGCTGACACTATAAAACATCCTACTTAGCTGAATGCTTCACTCAGCTAAGAAAGAAATAAAAAGTTGGATCCTATTTCACTGATCTTAAGATTTGACCTTGGCCAAGCTCTTACAATATTTGGAGGCAAACACTCTGTTGTCATTTTTTTTTACAAGCGTAAAGGGTACTGAATGCCTTCACCCTTCCTAGACTTATCAAGCGCTATTGTGCTCAGATGGAATGTTACTTTTCAAGCTTCAGACACTGTGCATGATGCCAAAGATGATCCACATGACCTTTATCACTACTATTTTTCCATGGACTTTCAATTGCCGATATTAGCTCATGCTGCCCCTCAAGTACTTGGACACCCTCCCTGTACACCAGTTTGTTTAATGTGAGTCTGGCAGAAGTGGGTAATGGCCTGGGGTTTGTTTAGCTTTCCTTGGGATTACAGAACGTCACCCTTCAGAACAAAGCAGCACTTTGTGGTAAATTTCATGATACTACATTTGGGCACAATTCTTTACATTCAATAAGTGGCTCACAGATAAATTACAAAAAGCATTGCAATGTTCAGAAGGAATGGGCTTTGCTATTATATTTTGCATCCTTGATCCAGAGGTATAGTTTGAAGGAGTGGAAAGGATCCATGATAAATTCCCTCCTGGAGACTGCAAAAATAGCTCTAACGTGCCTCCACTTCTATTCAGTGGTCTGGGTCTCAGTGCCTGCTGAGCCTGGCATGGGGTAAGGGACTGGGTCCATAATAACTAACCTGTGTCCAAGTGGAAGACTTCCAATTTTCTTTAAGATTTACTATATTTCTCTTGATCAGGAGTGTCTCAAGATTTTAAACCTGCTGGTATCATCGTATGTGATGCTCTCAGGTTAATACCGGAATCTCTTGGTTTTACACTTTTAAAAATTGGCTCATATATACATTCTTAGTACTAGACTTCTGCAATTTTGATTATAATGAAGAATTAAAATATGCCCATTTTCATAAGGCACAGTGACATTGCTAAGGATGAGAGAGAGGTAGTGGATTTATGTTATTACCCTTGATTCTGTTTGAAGCCACAGATTCCCATTGAGAACAGTGATAATCAGTCAGTGGCAAATCTCCTTGTGGATATCTTTAGGAATTTGTCATGCTTTTTTCCTGTTTGTTCAGTGTTTCAGTTTTGAATGTTTCTCTGGTGTCTCCTTTGCATATTATTTTAAAATATTCTTACACCCCAGATTTGAATAGTTTAATAATATTTCTGTGTCTACACTGAAGTAATGGACATCTGTTGACAAAATATTCAACAAAATAAAACTGTAATAAAAGCAGATTATTGTCAATAAGCTTTAGAGCTGAGAGACTCAATTTTTCATCCTTAAAACTCTTCATTCTGCAAGTAGTTGTTTGAAAACATGGGTTCCCAAACTGGGAGTTGTGCCCCCCTGGGGGTGTGTGAAGAAATTCTGGGGGGGAGGAGGACGCAAGGCGACCCAGACACACACACACACACACACCACACACACACACACACACACACGTGAATCCCACCCCAAATTTTGCTGCTATTTTTTGAGGGGGGGGCATGAGGGTTTCTCAAAAATCAAAAAGGGGGCGTGATGCCGAAAAGTTTGGGAACCACTGTTTTAAAAGATACACAATTACCAGTGACAGGTAGAGCCATGACGTCCACATACCAATGCAAATACTCCCAAAGTTGGGAGTTAAGATTCTACACATAAATGCAGAAGCCAGTTGAGACTGGATCTGGATCTGGATCTAACTCTAAAATCTGAACTACTTCATAGTTGGGAATATTCAGATCTCAGATTTAGGCCTATTTTTAAGTCCCAAATTCTTCTAATGTTTTGTCATGTCAGTGTGAGGCATGAAATGCAAAACTGGTTCAAGGGTTTGTAGTCCTTCTACATGATTAAATGTGCAGATCATAGCTACTATAGTTCCTTCTTTGTCCCTTGGCCCATTGTATCACTCACTTTCCTGTGCTGCTACAATCCTAACAAGGATCTCTTCTGGAAAAGCTTCTTCTGAAAGAAGACTACAGTCTAGACGTAGCCTTGGTGAGACAAGCTTTCATATTTAGCCTGGAAAAGAGGAGATGAAGGGGGAATATGATACCCATCTTCAGATAGTTGAAGGGCTGCCACCAAAATGACAGAGAAAAATTATTCTCTTTCAAGAGAGGACAGGATAAAAGGATTTAAACTACTGCATAACAGATTTAGATTAAATCTCACCAAAAACTTCCTACCTATAAGAACAGTAGGACTATAGAACATCCTTCCTCGTGGGGTTGAGGAAGCTTCTTCACTGGAGGTTTTCAAAATGAGGCTAGATAACCATTTGTCTTGGATGGTTTAGCCATAACAAATCCTGCCTCTTGGCAGAGAGTTGGACTGGATGATCCTTATGGTCCCTTCTAAGGTTCTAAGCCTAAGGTTCTGTGATTCTTAGCGTACACAGTCAGCCACTCTGAATATCTATTACTCATGCACTTTCATTTAGTGTACTCTAGAGCAGGTTGAAACTGGTTCAGTGGGACAAATATTTTTCAACAAAAACAACCAGAAAGAAAATACTTTTATTATTAGCAAGCTTTCTATGTGAAAATGCTTGTGACATGACAAGCAGTGATCGGATACATCATGATAATATCTTGCAAATTTCTATCTTCACGTTAAAATAGCTCTTTTTGCAGACAGTTTCATAATGGGTATAATAATTCTTCATATAATGGCAAAAATTAAAATATCTTAATCTGCAAATTCTTAGAGGGCCATAGGACTTGCCTGCAAAATGATGTTATGAAAAGGGATACAGATGCAATCTGATAGCTCCTTTATGAGTCCTCAAAATTAAATTTAGTCAGAGCTTATGCCAACAGATTTCGAACACAGAGGATGTAACAGATCTCTTCATTTGGCAGCTGCTCTTCATTTACTGCAGCAGTTTCCAAACTGTGATCCATGGATCACAGGTGACCAGAGGAACACTTGATGATCTGTGGAGATCCAGAGGGTCAGATAGTGCTGGCTCTCCTCTTTATTATCAGCATCACACTTGTGGTAAAATCAGCTAAAATACGTGAATACATGTTTTAATTGGAGGCATTGTAGTTGTCACAGGGTATTATAAAGTCACAAATCTCTATTCAGATGAGGCTCAAGAACCCTGATCTATTGCATTGTCTGAGGCCAGCTTTTAGTACCAATTATTACCAGGTTTGAACCATCACTCTGATAGAACCTGAATAGTACAGATTTTCAGCATCTTCCCATTATATATCCCACCCCCAGATATTATGGTGATATACTTAGTGATGTACTTAGTTTTATAAGGGACAATTTTTTTGTTGATTGATGGATGTGATGCAGCTGCCTTCTATACCGACTATTAGAGCTCTGCAAATCTGCAGATATCCATTTTATTTCTGTGGGTACCCACGTCTGCGGATGTGGATATCTGTGGCCCATTTTTGCAGATAGAGATGCAGATACAAATTTTATATCCTTGCAGTGCTCTACTGATCATATTAGATTTTACAACTGTTTTCAGTTATGGATGGGAAATTGGGCGGAGTTTCAGATTTTGAGAACCTTTTAACCTCTGTGAATGGGTTGACAGAGTTCCAAAAATCCAAACAGGTCTTTTCTGCAGCACGTGGGGAGAAGTGAGTGCCACTGCAGGCTGGCTTGCACAGTGTGTGAATCATATATGATCTATGGGTATATATACTGCAAGAACTGTTAACTGCAGTGCAGCTCTTACCATATGTAAGATGTGCAGCCATCTTACAGCATGTTTCCTTCCTCCTCCACCTCCATTGTTCTTTGGTGGCGTGTACCATTGGTGGTACTTCATGTTTACTCCTTACGGGGCACAAACCTGGATAGCATCCAATTTCACCACCTCATTTTATAACCCAATGTTTGAATGGGCTTGAAGCTAGGTAAAACAAGTTCATGACCCTTCCTTTTTATACCAAAGTGAACTGATCAGGTATGTGGGTTGGTGACGATCACTTTTGAGTAGTTCCATTCTTTTTGAGTAGTTCCATTCTTTTGTTATGGAATGGCTATATCTCACATGATTAGTCATGTGGGGCCTCCTGTGTGGTGTTTTTCAATATATGTGTGGAACCTCACAAAGAGCTGATAGGCAGGGAAGTTATCATTACTGTGATATTACCATGATCTGTGATACTGATATTTTCTAGCATCAAATGTCACCACCCTTTCCAATCATAATCTACTGTTGTCTTGTTGCTTATTCAGATTGCAGGTGGTGTAAGAGAGCTGCTTTTGGCTCATTCCAGATGAGTAAGCTAATTCCCAAAGTGACCAGCAGAATGTGCTGACGTGGTGAGTCTTGACCCTATTATGGAGGTTAATAGACACCCAATGCCAAGAACCAAGATGACAGCTTTTCAAGTTATTGAGTGTAGAGAGAAAAGTTTGCCTGACAGATCGACAACACATAGGTCAATACAATAGCTCCAGTTGAAATGCCAGAAGTGGAATGGTAGATTTTCTAGTTTTCATTTGTCACACCATTTATCACACTCAATGAGGTCCTCCTCTTCCTTGGGATACTGGGTATACTGTGTGTGCATTTTGGAGCAAGATGTGGACTGCTGGTAGTTACTTGATGGGCATGCCTAGTATATGTGACATTAAATAATTTCAAAAGGACGTCAGCGATTTCGGGAAGGCCACTTTGACTTGAACAAGGGAATTTGTCATTCCACTGTCTTCTAGCCAATCTGCAATGACTTGTCATTTCCAGCGGAAGACCACCCAACATAATGACAAATTTGTGTTCTCCATACCCAACAGGCTAAGTCCACTGTGCCTGTTTGGTTATAGTGAAAGGGGGCAATGATTACTGGCGCTTGGCATGACTTTAGGTGGTGTACAGCATTCCTTATTGCATCCAGGGTATGATGAATCAGTACCACAAACTTGGAGTCATCTGGAAGGAGGAGAAGAAATGCAGTGATGGCTGTGGTGAAATCTGTCAGCAGCTTCTTTCCTGGCCTGGTATGCTGCCCAGGAAATATCTTGATCTCCCTTACTACTTGTCTTATTTGTTCAAACCACCTGTATTCTTGCAGAACTTGGGTAATCAGTTGGCAGTCAATCTTCGGCTACGTCTAGACTACATGCCTCTGACGACAGAGGCATGTAGTCTAGACGTAATTTCAACATTTGTGGCAGGGATGAGAGTGTTAGCTTTCTTCAAGACGAATGGAAGGATAAATGTGTGAGACTCAGGAAGTGTTCTTCACTGATGCGGAATTCACACTCAGGGATGGAAATTCCATGGACCGCTCCCTCCATGTGGCTACTGGAATGCTGGAAAAGTGACATACTAGTTCAGTGGAAGGAGTCTGTTGCTATGCTGGAGCTGTACTTGTGGTCTATATTGCCAGATCACCACAAAGTTTTAGAAGACTGATTACACTCTTATCCACCAAGTGTTGATATGCGCTGTTTGCCATGCTTGTAGAATTGCTAATATATGTCATAGGAGATGGACAATCCGAGTTTGAAGAAGGTATTTACTAGTTCATTTTTTCATGACTGTACACAAAGTGTAAAAATGAGGTAGGTTGGGAAAGGCATTGCCAAAGCTTCACTGCAGATTTCTGTTCCTTCACAGCGATGGATGCTGTTGTACTGCAACAGTTGTTCCAAAGTAAGGATAGCTGGATAAACAGATACTTGTTCTGAGTTTTAATGTTTGGACCATCCAATACCATGGACATCAATGTCAATAGTGACTCAGGCATATATGAGTTTGGCATCCTGGGTCAAATGGTCCAATAAACTGTGTTCATTTGAAACATGTCCCTTTGAATAATGTTTATTGTTTGGGGTGGGTGAATTGCTTCTTTGTCACAGCCACACATTTTTGGAGGGCATGTCCAACATCCTATTTGAAGGCAAAGATCACATCATATCCTTTGTGTGTGCTTGGAGATCTGGAATGTGTGAAATGGGATTTTTAGTTCAGACACTGGTTAGGAATGCATCCAAGACAGTGTCACCCCAAGCTGTTTACTTTTCTTGCACTAGAGACTTGTGAGGTCTGCTAAATTTAAAGACAGGAGACATTCATCCAGTCTTCTTTCTTCAATATATGCTATCAAGTGGGCAGCCATATGGAACAGCTTCTCTGTGTTGCTTTGTTCGGGTTTCTTCTCCCTGGCTTTGTTGTAGAGACACCAAACATCTTGCATGACATTTTTTGCCTCTTGGATTATTAAGTCCCCTGCACTTAGTTTTGCAAGCAAACAGTGGCCTTGGAGCTACAGTACACACTTGGCCCTGGTCTACACTAGGGAGTTATTAGCTTGAAATAACAAGCGGAGCATTCACACTACCAAGCCATGTTCAGGGAGCCTGCCCCAGACCAATTTTGAGGCTCCCCTGTAGTGTGGACATGCTATCTCAAAATAGTTATTTCAAAATACTTTCCTAATGTAGACATGCCCTTGAGGACATGACTTGCAGTGCCACAGGTAAATGGATCTGGCTTTCAAATAAGCTTGTTTCTTTTTGACCTATGTGAAGCATTAGCCAAGAATAATCTAAAATCCCTCATTACTGTGTACTGTTCCTATTACTCAGTCAGCAGGCAGCATCACACAACAAACTGATATCTGAAAGGAAAAAAGATTAAATTTTGTCAAGACCACATTGACCATCAAATTTAGCATAAAGTATGTTCCTACACCAATTTTAAGGTCACACTGAAGCAAATCCAAGAATACATCCCTTTATAGTTGGAGTATGTTATGTTATTTGCTGATTATTAATATATTTTAAAATGGCTGCCACAGTTAATGCAGCATTAGTTGGTGATGGGCCCTTATCTGAAAATCTTTATTAATCACACCCTCAGTCTGTGGCAAATTTCATGCGTTAGTCATAACATTCATAATTCCATCTCTCTCTTTTTTCCCCCCACAAATCTGATCAGTTTTGCAGTTCCCCATAAACACTAAAGCAGTTATAGGAGGGTCGGGTGGGAGGAAGGCTCTGTCCTTCTCTCTCCTCCCTATAAGCTAAGCACTGGGAAATAAGGAGCCAGCTCCTACCATGATGTTCCCTTGCTTGGCTGCTGCTTGAAAAACTTGCCCTGTTCTGTTCAGCAGTCACAATAATGAGCACAGAGCCTCTCTGAGCTGATTTCAAGAGGCTTCCCCTGGCCTCTTGAGTGGTTGATTGAAAAGGTGGAGATCAAGGCATCTGCAGTCAGGAGTAAGTGCTTGAAATTGTTAATCTTCTCATAAACCAGGGCAATGTATTTGCCAAGCCCAAGCATTAATATATCATGTGTCAGATCCCCTCAAAATAATGAGATTGGCTTATGAATTCATAAGATTTTAAATAGTTATAAAGCTTTAATTTTTTAAAATCTCAGTCTGTCAATAAATAATAGCCTGGCCCTCCCTCCTATAATTTCCTTTAACTGAAAATGTAAGTCAATTAAAACAGAAAAAATGCATACATTTTCAGTTAAAGGAAATTATAAGTCAATTAAAACAGAAAAAATGCATAAAACCTATAATACTTTGCAACTATGAAATTTAAATAAAAATAGAAAAAATTCTTAAATTACGCATTGATATTATCTGTCAAAATTATAAAAAAGTAAAAATAAAATTCTTCCAACCTTAAGAATAAAACAGTTTGGTTCTTTTATTTACCTTCTGAGGCTCACTATTCAGAGCTTTTATCTGCAATCATGAGAGAAAGAGAGTTTATTTAATCAACTGACCCTGGGAGCTCAGGTTTTAAGAACACACACACGCATGCCAGGGAGCTGCTCTGGCCTGCAGGCAGGGGCTACTCTGGCTGGCCCACAGCAGCCCCACAGGGCTGAAGTAGTCCCGTGCCTGTGGTAGGCAGGGTGCTGCTCTAGCCCACAAGTTAATAGGGTTGCCAGATGGTTTCCCAAAAAATACTGAACACACGTGCTAAAAATTTGTCAAGCAAAAATAAAAAAACCAAACAAACCCCACCACAACTATGCTTGACACTGAATGGGAACTTTATTATAAACAATCAACAGTCTATATATTTTGACTATATGAACCTCCCAGCGCCAATCGCGGCCCCGCCTCCCCATCCGCTCTCCCTGCCCCCACCAGGCTTCCATTGGGCGCTCAGCTGGAAAAGCAGAAAACACTGGACATTGCGCATGTCCAGTATTTTCTGAATTTTTTTACTAGACAGAGGGTATGCCCCCACCACGCTTCCATTGGGCGCCCAGCTGGAAAAGCAGAAAATACTGGACATTGCGCATGTCCAGTATTTTCTGAATTTTTTTACTAGACAGAGGGTGCAAAAAACAGACTGTTCGGTTGAATACCGCACATGTGACAACCCTACCAGTTAACAGGTTAACCATTCACATCCCTATTAAATATATTTTAAAATCTGACTCCTAATGACTTTCAGTGAAAGCTGGGTTTTAACTCCTTTCAGTTCCTTTTATTCCAGCTGTAAAAGTGAGAAAATAAAAACTAAGTTAAGAAATTCCAGGTTTTCACAATGATATTAACTCTGCAACATTGCACACTGCTTGGTATTTAACTGCGTAACCTAAACGATATATTACTATATGTTTTAAAATTGGGAGGAAAAAGGTTTGAGGAGTTTATGAACTCTACATGAGTTTATGAGGAGTTTGAGGAGTTTATGAACTCTACATGAACATAAATGTTTACTAGAGTATGGGTTTCTGATTTGAAATGTGTCAAAAGTGATTGTTTTATTACATTTAAAATATCCTAGGCATACAAACTTAGGCCTTTCTGCTACATGTGGGTGGACCCATGCAGCAATCCAGATCCCTATGTACCTATATAGTATGCAACAACTTATGGCATTTGGGAGATAAGTCTCAATGGTGCTTTTAAGTCACAGACCTTATTTGGGGCAGTACAAAGTTGCACCCTGCAGAGGGATACCAGAAGATCCATATTACACAAATAAATGTGAGTGAATTCAAAAGTTTACAATAAGTCTAAAGTTGGGAGGTGACATGCTGGATTTTTTTTTTCAAACGTAAACCTGTATTATAATTAGGGTAGTTTTATTTCAGGATCAGATTGAATCAGTAATAGTGATTACCTAGTACAAGACGTTCTCTTGTGGCTCACTTAAGACTTTCAAAAGTTCCTAAGTTATTTAGAAGCAGAAATTCCATTGAAATAAAAATCACTTTGGTGTTTTTGTAAAGACCACACCAGAAACTTTTGCATGAGTTTAGCTTTATTTTTAAAAAATTGTTGCTTGTCTCCTTGTAAAGAAAACCGTACCAATATAATCCAAATGTAGTACTATCTTCT